TTAACAAATGACCACAGACGTAGTGGCTTAAAGCAGCACAAACTTATGATGTCACATTTCTGGAAGTCAGAAGTCCAAAATGGGTCTCACTGGGCTATCAAGGTGTGAGTAGGGCCACATTCCTTTCTGGAGCCCCTAGGGGGGAATCCATTTTCTTGCCTTTCCCAGCTTCTAGAGGTTGCCTGCATTCCTTGGCTCATGGGCCCTTTCCATCTGCAAGGCCAGCAATGGCCCATGATGTCTTAATGGATGTAACTGAAATTCATTCCTTTTTCACTGCTGTATTGTATTCCACTATAGAAATATACCACAATTTATCCATTCTTCTGTCAATGGGCATTTGGGTTCTTCTTTAAAAATATATATTTGAAGTGTGTTTTCCTGACCATTTTGGTACATATTGCCTGGGCCATATGTAGAGATGTTCTTCCAGAGTATATACATGGGAGTAGAATTGCTGGGTTCCAAGGTGTGCAAATATCCCACTTTATAAGACAATGCCAAGTTGTTTTCCAATGTGGAGCTATGCATAATCCTGCCAGAAATATATGAAAGATAGACCCTCTCCAACACTTGGAATTGTCAGACTTCTTAAGTTTTGTCAATCAATTGAGTATAAGTATCTCACTAAGATCTTGATTTGCATGTGCCTCATTATTAAAGAGATTGAACATCTCGTCACATGTTCATGGGCCACATTAATTTCCTCTTCTGGAAATGCCCATTCATGTATTTTCCCCATTTTTCTTTTCTCCTTCTCCTTCTCCTTCTCCTTCTCCTTCTCCTTCTCCTTCTCCTCCTTCTCCTTCTCCTTCTCCTTCTCCTTCTCCTTCTTCTTCTTCTTCTTCTTCTTCTTCTTCTTCTTCTTCTTTATTTTTTAATCCTCACCCAAGGACATGCTTATTGATTTTAGAGAGAGGGGGAGGGAGGGAAAGAAACATCAATGTGAGAGAGAAACATCAATCAGTTGCCTCTTGTATGTGTCCTAACTGGGGACCGAAACTGCAATCAAGCATGTGCCCTGAGTGGGAAATGAACTGGAAATCTTTTGCTTTGCAAGATGATGCCCAGCCAACTGAGCCACACCAGTCAGGGCTATTTTTAATTTTTTTGAGGAACCTCCATATTGCTAACCACAGTGGCTGCACCAGTTTGCATCCCCACCGATAGTGTTTAAGTTTTTCCCTTTTCTCCACAACCTCATCCCACTTATCTCTTGCCTTTTTGATGAGAGCCATTCTAACATGTGTGAGATGATATCTCATTGTGGTTTTGATTTGCTTCTCTCTGAGGATTCATGATGTTGAGCAACTTTTTCTGTACTTGTTGGCCATTTGTATGTCTTCTTTGGAAAAGTGTCTATTCAGTTCCTCTACCCATTTTTATACTGGATTATTTGTGGGGTTCTTTTTTCTATTGAGTTGTATGAGTTCTTTCATTTTAACCATTTTTAAAGGTACCATTCAGATGCATTAAGTTATGAAATTATCACCACCATCCATATGCAGAATTTTTGCATCTTCCCAACTGAAGTCTGTACCATTAAACAATGACTCCCCATTCTCTCCTCTCTGCAGCCCCTGGCAACCACCGTTCTACTTTCTGTATCTATGAACTTGATTGCTCTAGGTCCCTCTAAAAGTGAAATCATACAACATTTGTCCTCTTGTGACTGACTTATTTCACTTAGCACAAGGTCCTCAAGGGTCATTCTGATAACATGTATCAGAATGTCGTTCTTTTTAAAGGCTGAATACTATTCCATTGTATGTATACACCACATTTTGCTTACCTGTTCATCCATTGGTGGCCACTTGGGTTGCTTCCATGTTTTGACTATTGTGAATGATGCTTCTATGAACCATGGTGTACAAATATCTGTTTCAATGTCTGCTTTCAGTTATGTGGGGCTTATAGCAAGAAGGAGAATTGCTCAATCAAATGGTAACTCTACTTTTAATTTTTCAGGGGTCTGCCCCACAGGGGCTGCACTATTTCACATTCTCATCAGCATTGAAGAGGGGTTCCAATTTCTCCACTTCCTCACCAACATTTGTTATTTTCTGGAGTTTTTCTAAAAAAAGTAATAGCCATCTTAATGGGTGTCTTGCACATAATTTGTAAAATTTGTTCCCAGTGCATATTTTCTAAATATTATAAATAGTGTATTTTTTTCAATTTCCCTGTTCTAAAAAGTTTTTTTACATTTTTTAAAAACATTTTATTTATTCATTTTTAGAGAGAGGTGAAATCGATTGCCTCTCGTATACCCGCAACTGGGAACTGGCCCGCAACCCAGGCATGTGCCCTGACTGGAAATTGAACTGGTGACCTTTTGGGTCGCAGCCTGGCACTGAATCTACTGAGCCACACCAGCCAGGGCAAAACATCTTTTAAATTTAAAATAATCTCAGAGTGACAATAAAATTTGCAAAAAATAGTACAGTTGTTTCTCCTTACCTGCAGAGGATGCATCCCAAGGCTCCCAGTGGATGCCTGAAACTAGGGAGAGTACCAAACCTGTATATACTTATTTTTCTTATACGTACACACCTACAATAAAGTTTATGGGGGGTTTTTGGTGTATCTGAATTGCCAGTGTCACTATTCTTGTGCTTTGGGACCGTTATTAAGTAAAAAATGGTTACTTAAACATAGCACTGCAGTACGAGGCAATCTGATAACCAAAATGTCCACTCAGTGACTACCGGGCAGGTGGCATATACAACGTGGACAAAGGGACGGCTCTCCAGGAAAGCAGGAACTGTACACCGTGCAATTTATTATGCTACTCGGAATGGCATGCAATTTAACACTTATGAATTGTTTATTTCTGGAATCTTCCATTTTATATTTTTGGACCCCAGTTGACCGCACATAACTGAAACTGAAAAGAAAAACCATGGAAAAGGAGGGACTACTGTATACAGAATTCCCCTCTGTCCTTCCGTCTTCCCCCAATGCACCTCACGGAACCCTCATACAAAGATCTAGAGCAGGGAATCAACATCGATGCAATATTGTTAACTAAGGTACAGATCTTACTTGAATTTGACAAATAGTCCCACTAATCATTATGTGACTAAGGTCCTTTTCCTCACCTGGGATCCAGTTCAGGATCCCACACTGCATTTTGTGGTCATGTCTTCTTAGTCTCCTTCAGTCTGGAAAAGTTCCTTAGGCTTCATCTTTCACACTTTGACACATTTGAAGAGCACGAGCCAGTTATTTTGTAGACTGCTCCTAAATTTGTTTGGTGTTTTCTCATGACTGGATTAACATTATGCATTTTGGGCAAAGAACGCCTCAGAAGTAACGATGTGCCCTTCTCAGTTCAAGGGGTACCTGCTGTCAACATGTCCCATTGCTGGGGATTTTAACTTTCATCACATGGCGAAGTGGTATCTGCCAAGGTACTTCTTTATATAGTGTCCCCTTTGTAATTGAACAGTATCTTGTCGGGGAGGTACTTTGGGACTGTGCCAGTATCTACTTCTCCTGTTTGCACTCTATTTCCATCATTCCTTCTATGCTTATTAATTAGAATTCTACAGTGAGGAAGACCTGTCCCTTTACTTCTGTTTCTTTACCCAGTTATTTATTTATATCAGCATGGACTCAGATGTGCTTGTTCTATGGGTTATCCATCACTATCATTATTTATTTCATTGCTAAAATTGTCCCAGATTTGATCACTGGGGACTCCTTCTGTTTGATTCCTGTGTCCTTTTGACATGCCCCTGTCATTCTGGGGACACTTCCTTTTGTTCTGGCACCATAAGACATTCCCGACTCATCTTGTACTTTCCCTTGAATCCACTGCTCCTCCAAAGAACCCTGGTTCTTTTACTTAGAAACCAAGATCTGCGTAAGAGCTGCAATTACTGCTATTAGTGCCATTGCTTTTAGGCCATCTCAGTGGACAGAAATGAGAAATACAGGGTCCGGCAGAAGTAACACCTGTTTGTGTGTGGTTGGAAGGATGATAATATGGGTGTAATAATTCATAGTTTTCATTTGAACATTTCACCTAAAATGTCATTTCAGTGTGCTTGAGTGTGATACTGTTATACTGCAGAATTGCATGCTTATGGTTGTGTAATAAAAAAGAGGCCGTTGTTTGTACCAGACCCTGTATATCTATACGTATCTGTATCGATGTAAAATCATGAGTTTAGTCTAAATCTATTGCTTCTTGTTTCTGCTGACTCAGCATGACTTGCCTTCTCACGTGTTTGATAATTTTTGTTCTGAACTCTTTGCTTGATCTTAATTGATAGGAGCCTTCCAGGCTTAGTTTGCAGACCTTTCCCTCCAGAGCAGGCTTTCTTCTGCCAGTAGCGAAGAGATGCCTTAGCCCAGCATCTCTTCAGACCTGAGGAGGGTTTCGCCTTAAAACAGAGTTTTAAGCTTAGTTTCCACTCCCCGCCCCCATTCCTCGCCGCTGGTCCAAGGTGGTATCCTTATAGTCAATAGTGCTACCTTAGTCCTTCTCCTTACCTGCCTCTGCTTTGGCTCTATGCTGCTCTCTGTCCCCTTACCGTTTTGGTGGCCCTGGTCCCTACCTCTGTGGCCAAGGGTTCGGGCTACTCACCTTGGCCCTAGTTCCTGGCCACTTTTGACCCAGACTGGGGCGGGGGGGTTGGTTTTAAAAACATTCTCTGGGGAACTCTCCTTTTGCAAGCTGGGTGGTACTTGTGTGTGTGCACATGTAAACAAAGTTTCAGTTGTGGGGAAGTTGTAGGAGGCTGCCTCAGCACTTAGCACAGCGTTTTCTAAAACATTATAAAAAAACAGGAATGTATGGGCCAATGAGGGATAAATTGTGGTAACTAGAAAATTTCAGAAGCAAAGGAGGGAACTATAAAGAACATCAAGGTTGGGACCCACATTAATCTAAGCCAGAGAGGCCAGTTTCTAGTCAGTGGCTCCCAATGCCAGCCCCTGATATCTAGGAAGTGGTATCAATAGAGACTGAGCCGCATCCTTTCTTTGAACAGATGGCAAGCGAAGGCAACTTGAGGGTAGAGCTCAAATCCCAGCAACCTTCCAGGAACTCAGCCCAGCATGATGCAACGAAATCCTCCCATATCTGTCCTCTGGAGATGCTGTTACACAGGTTGAAGGCTGCCAAAACCAATCAGGATGGCAAGTTTGCCAGTATCATGGATGCGCTAGGGGAGTTTGGCACATTCCAGCGGAGGCTGGTGACCCTAACCTTCCTCCCCATCATCCTGGCAGCCTTCTTCACGTTTGCTGACATCTTCGTGTTCACAGCCCAGAAGCCCTACTGCAATACCAGCTGGATACTGGCAGTGGGCCCTAACCTGTCAGAGGCTGAGCAGCTGAACCTGACCCTGCCCCGGGATACCAATGGCAGTTTGATGACATGTCTCATGTACTTGCCTGTCACCTGGGATCTGGAGTCTATCGTCCAATTTGGCCTCAACTACACACAGGCATGCCAAGACGGGTGGATCTATCCCGAGAGTAAGATGCGATCATTGATCAATGAGGTATGCCTCGTCCCAAGTTGTCTGTAGCTAGGGGCCCAGAGTTGTGCCCGCCCCTTCACCCAACATGTGGGGAAACTGAGGCTCAAGGAGGAGAAGCAATGGACGCAAGGTCACCCTGCAGAGGAAGGGCCAGGACAGAAACTTAGGATTCCCGCTACCCAGCCCTGACCTCACCTGTCTTAGCCAGCAGGCTAGAGTGGATTTGGGGTCAGGGCTGAAGGCAGATGGCAGGGTTTGCCATCTGTCCAGGGGGTTGATTCTGTAGCTGTGGCCCTCCCCTTGGGACCCACAGAAGGAAGGGAATTGAAGAAAAAAGCAGCTTTGATGGGGTACCTCGTATAGGGTTTCTCGGTCTAAGGTGCAACCTGCACCCTTCAAAGCACAGACCTGTCCAGTTTGATTCTCTAGGCGGGGGCCCAAGCAACTGTTTTGGGGAAAGCACCTTTTTTTTTTTTAAGATTTTATTTATTATTTTTAGAGAGAGGTGAAGGGAGGGAGAAAAAGAGGGAGAAAACATCAATGTGTGGTTGCCTCTCATGCACCCCCTACTGGGGACCTGGTTTGCGACCCAGGCATGTGCTCTGACTGGGAATCAAACTGGTGACCCTTTGGTTCAAAGGCTGGCACTCAATCCACTGAGTCACACCCGTCAGGGTGGGAAAAGGTCTTTAGTGATGCTGGCCTTTAATCAGTGACCTGTCCCTCTACCCCCCATCTTGGCCTGTACCTCTGGTCCCTCTCTTCAGGCCCAAATCCCAGAGTCTGCCAGATGCAGGATGGAAGGCCAAGGTAACAAAGCTGAGGCCTGATATACACAGTTACCTGGCTCTGTCTCAGGCCCCTTCTGCCTAAAGGCCCACCCTCGGAGGAGGCTCAGTCTCTGGAACCAAGAGACTGACACTGGGTGGAGGCCTGTGGCCAATCCCTGCATTAATCCCCAGTTTGACTTGGTGTGTGGTGAGGAAATTAACGTGGACATCGTGCTGACCATTGGCCAGGCCGGCCTCCTGATAGGGTCGCTCCTCTTCGGGTTCATAAGTGACAGGTGAGTCTCCCAGAGTTTCTTCTTGCCCCCGAGACACCCTTGCTCCCTCCTCATGGGCATTCAGAGCTGAGAAGTCTCAATCTGGGGAAGGCAAGGGTATGGGCACGCTGGAGGCCCATGGATGGCTCAGGACCTGGCCGGGGGGTTGGGCTGGGGCTACGCACTGAGGTCCTGGGGCTTGGCACAGCCTCCCTCCTGTGCCCTCAGGCTCGGCCGCTACCCCTCCATCCTGCTGTCAATCCTGGGGATGATCATCTTCGGCTTTGGGACAGCCTTTGTCAACAGCTTTCAGCAGTACCTGTTCTTCCGCTTCGGGGCGTTGCAGGCGCTGATGGGCTACATCATCAGCAGTGTGGCTTTAGGTGAGGCCGGGCTGCGCAGTGCATGCAGTGGGGAGTGCATGAGCCTGCAGGACGAAGTTCTGACCCCGTGGAACCTGTTGTGCTGGGAGGGGAGGAAGGACTCTCCACTGCAGCCTGCCAGGAAGTGCAGGGAATCTGTGCCCAAACAGCCCTTCCACCCTCATCCCCCATTCTAACCGCCTCATACCCGCCATTCCTCTCAGATCCCCTGATGCCCTACACATGGCTTATATTTATTGAGCCCTAAAGAAGGGCCACACCAGCTGCTAAGCCCTTTGTCTGCATTGCCAACACCATTCAGTAGGCGCCAGTCGATTATTCCTTTAGCTGAGGAGGATGGCTGGGCCTCACGGACCAACCAGCTTGCTCAGGGTCACACAGCAATGAAGTGGAGGAGCTGGGATTTCACCACAGGGCTGGGGACGGATGGGAAAGCCCCCAGTACCCACACACTTATTCGGCCCTACAGCCGCCATCTCCTGCTGTGCGCAGGGTTCCCTGGCCAAACTCCCACCAAAGCCCGGCCAGTGGGACCTGGGTCCTCCACAGAGGCGAGACCCAGCGGCCAGAGCGCTGATGCACTGAGAGCAAAGACAAGGGCGATGATTCCTAGTCTCTCCGTCTGACAGCCCCACGGTGCCATGCCCACAAACCAGGCCTTCCCCATGAGAGGCGTGTGGTCAGGCAGGGGCTGCACAGAGCGAGCAGCCAGGCTGAGAAGGGCCTGGAGGCTATATAAGCGATTGGGAGGTCTGGCAAGGGGACTACCGTGTGCCTTGGGGGGATCCAGGGGACCCTCTTCTGCCTGGCTTTGGAAGGCTGTCTCTGGGCAGATCACAGGCAGGCAGAAGAACCTGTGCCCAGTCTGATCTGTCCCAAGCAGAGCTGGGACATCTCAGAAGGCTGGGTGCAGGGGCAGCCCTGGGGACCCTGAGCTGACCACGATCTTGTCCTCTTGGCCTCTGCACAGCTACTGAGTGGCTCATGGGTGAGCACCGAGCCCACGCTGTCATCCTGGAACACTGCTTTTTCTCTCTGGGGATCCTGTTCCTGGCTGGGCTGGCCTACAGCCTGCCCCACTGGCGGCTGCTGTTCCTGCTGGGCGGGGCCCCTGTGTTCTCCCTCATTTCCTATATCTGGTGAGCAAAGGGGCACAGGCATGCACAGGGCTGGGTCAGAGGGGCTGGAGACTGAGGAGTGTGAAGGGTCCTCGAAGGGACACAATGGGAAGCATGTTCCCTGGGCTAAAGTACACGCGGACGCGATGAGAGAGCCAGGGCACAGCCTCTGGAATGACAGCACTAACACCCCTCATAGGGGGGACCCCAGAGAGGTGGTCATTAAAGCAGGAGGCAAAGCATCGGAAGGCAAGATTCAAGGATAAAGGATGGTTAAGGTTGAAGGCAAAAAAAAAAAAAAAAAGAAAAGAAAAGAAAAAGAGCTTGGTAAAGTGTTTGTGGGCCTTGATGAACTTTAAGTTGCTTCTGTGGAGTGTCAGGGAGTTGAGGAGGAAGGAAGGCCTGAAAAATGGAACCATCTGCGAGATGGCTTTGTCACTGTGCTGAGCTAAAGTCCCAGCTCTGAGAATGGGGCCCCAACAGAGGGTGTGGGCATGGAAGACAGTGCCCTCGGTACGCTTGGGTGGCAGGAGCGTCAGGGGGATGGCCCTGGAGAGCTCTTACAGGTGGCTGAGGGGAAAGAAACCATGAGGTCGAGACAGCATGGGGCCAGGGTGACACTGAGTGGCAGCGGAGCCTGTGTGTGGCTTGGGCAGGGGAGGGATGGCTGCCAAGGAAGGAGTGAGGACATCTGGAGGCTGATGGTCGCCTTCAAGGCCTCCATCACGCGGGAACAGGATGGCCACCCCTGCGGTAGGGGGTGGGGCCTGCTTGGTTCTCTGGGCACCTTGGAGTGATGGATAAGGGAGGGGTGTGCCATGCAGGATTCTCCCAGAGTCCCCTCGGTGGCTGATAACGAAGGGGAAGGTGGAGGAGGCCAAGCAGGTGCTGTGCTACGCAGCCGGAGTGAACAAGAAGCAGATTCCTTTAAATCTTCTGGACAAGGTAAGAGGCCTCAGGCTCAGGGTGGGGCCGGGCTGGGCGCTGTGGAAGGGCCTCTCCCCCTCTTCTTCCTTTCAGTCGGGGCCTTGGCCCAGAGGGGATCCCCAGCCCGCTGCTTGAGAGCAACAGCGACAGCAAAATTGAACCCTGTCAGGGGCAGGCCGGAGACCAGGCTGGCGCTGGGGGGCCTTGTGGGTGCTGCGGGGCTGGGAACAAGCCGGCATCTCCGCCCTGCCTCTGGTTGGTCCTTTTCATCCTGTAGCTACAGGTATCTGAACAGAAGATGCCAAAGGCCTCAGTCCTGGACTTCTATAACAACAGGCACCTGCGCAAGGTGGCCTTGGTGATGGGCTGTGTGTGGTGAGTCCCCAGGGCTGGCCAGCAGGGACAGCCAACAGGCGTGCCTGCCAGGAACTCTGGTGAGGGAATGGGGCGTGGCCAGGCCGCCAGGGAGCAAGGCCTCAGGACCCTGGCTGGGCCCACAGACCCCAGATCCGTGTTCATTTCTCTCTTCCGTCCCCGCCCCGTCCCCTCTCCCCTGCTTCTGTCTTCACACCTCACCCCACCTGCGTGAGTGGTTCTGGGTGTGGTCTCTGTCTCGGGTTCTCTCTGAGAGTTTCTCTCCCGGCTTCATTCCAGGTTCACGGCCAGTCACAGCTATTTTACGCTGAGTTTCAAGATGAAGGATTTTGGTGTGAACATCTACTTCAGCCAGGTGATTCCTGGCATCGTGGAGGTGCCTGCCCAGCTGTGCTGCATCTTTCTCCTCGAGCAGATTGGGAGGAAGTGGAGCCTGGCTGTGACTCTCTTCCAAGCCACCTTCATGAACTTGCTTATCCTTATCTTCCCCTCAGGTACAGCCCACCCTTCCCAACTCCCCCCCCCCCCCGCCCATACCTTCTGTCAAACCCCTCCCCCGTGCCTCCTGCCCTGTCCTGCCAACAAGACACCCTGGGAGTCAGCCTCTTGCACCCACAGCCCGCCTCCCCTGCACGGCCTGCACCGGCCAGGACACCTCCAGAGCAGGCACCGGTCACAAGAGCACTGTCCTGCCCCCTGGTGGGCAAGTGGGGGTAGTTCCATGACCAGGAGGGCACAGCTCTCAGAGGCCTGGGGGAGGGGATGCTGTTCAGAGCAATCGTCCCTCTGCCGGCGGGGGGAGTGGGCAGTTTCCTTCCGCCTGATTCCAATCCATGGCAGGTGTGGTGGTTAAATGTGAACAGACCCAGCAAAACAACTCCCAGCCTGACTGGGCCTCGGCACACCGACCCTCCTCTGACCGAATGCCCAAGTTGGCTGACCAGACGGTGGGGCGGACTGTTCAGATGCCCCCTGAGAGGGATCGGGAGAGCTGATGGGCAGGCCTCCCCTACCTGTCCTGATGGGAGGACGGCCCCAAACTCAGGTGGTCACGTTATCTGGCTACAGAGTTTAAATCCATAATGGCCTTGATGGTCCTGCTCGGACAATTCAGCCTGGCTGCCTCGGTCACCGTGTTCTTCGTCTACACCGCCGAGCTCCTCCCTACTGTCCTCAGGTATGAACCTCGTGGGAGGGGGTCCGGGGGGGTGGGAAGGCGGGACACTAACAAGGTGAGTAGCAGCAGCTAAGATTGGGCATTTGCCTGGTGACGGGCAGTGGGTGGAGAAGTTTACATCGATTATTCCACCTAAGCCTCACACACAAAAAAACAAACTCCCAGATACCATTATTAGCCCTACTTGAGTCAACAAAATCAAAGAGGGCAAGGCACCGGCTCAAGGTCAGACAGAGCAAGCGGCAGAACTAGCATTGGTCCTGGGCAGTCCGACTCCAGTTTCTGCCTCGTGCTGACTGTCTGACATGTGTCTCGGCCACTCAGAGGCTCAGACCCTTCACCGCGGGGGATCTCGCTATGGGCGACGTATCCTCCTACCCATGCTTCTCCCCACACTACACACCCGCTCACTGCCATGTGGGTCCTACTTCTCCCACTCCTGACCCTATGAAGTAGGCCCGGAAGAAATGACTACCTACTCTGAATCAATGGAGAACTCAATTCTCCGAGGTCCCACTGTGAGTTGGGACAGGGTGGAGTTTTAGGGAGCTGCCTCTTCCACCCTCCGCAGCCACTAGGCCCCCAAGGCCCCCAAGACAAGCTCTGATGCTTCCTTCCAGGGCGACAGGCCTGGGGCTGCTGTATCTGGCCTGGGTGGCTGGAGCCATCTTATCCCTGACGCTCATCAGCCAGAACCTTACCATCTCCAGTTCTCTCTGCTGCATCTCCGCCATTTGCGCCTTGGCCCTCTGCTCCATGCTTCCGGAAACGCGTGATAAGCCCCTTTCTGACACTCTGGAGCACTATTCCTTGGAGACAAGGTAGGCGTGCGAGGCCCCTGGGCTCTGGCACTTAGTACTGAGAAGATGTCAGGTGCTGTCCATCCCTGCTCCTGTCCTCAAAGGGCCTGTGACACAAGAGCCACTGTGTCCACCGCCATCTCCCCAGCTCTCCTGGATGATGTCACCCACTCCATCCAGCCCAGCCTCCGCGCTTCCATCCTGCCTGGCTCTTCTGACCCAGCCTGGGCCAGGTTCCCTCCTTCCTTTGCCTCCTGGCTGCCTGTCTGGGCTGGAGGGCTGCCTCCCAGGGCCAAGGGCCCTGGCTTGGAATCAGCTCTCTGAGTACTTCTCCTTTCTTATCTGAACCCAGTCTCGATTCATGACTCTGGCCTCTTGGCCTCAGCAACCCAGGACCCCGTTTAAGATCTAGGCTCTACCCCGACCCCTCTATGCGCGCTCTGGCCTCTGGTCACCCGCATGCCCCCTGGAGAAGTCTTGTGATTGGCAGAACCATCACTTCCGGGATTTGGGCCAACAGAGAGCATCACTCTCTCCCTGGACCGGAGGAGGCCAGAGCAACAGGGAGGGGCAGGGGCTGCCTCGTGTCCTCCAGGGTCCTCTGCTCTTCCTACAGGGGTCACTGCCTCTGGCCTTCTTCTGCCCTCCTCCTCATCACTCCCCTCCATTCATCCCCTCCTCAAACTCTTGTTGGTGCCACCAGGGTTGGACTCTCAGAGGTGAGAGCAAGCCATAGTTTCTGGGGAGAGAGATGTGCACACAGCGGTCGCTCATGAGCTCGCACAGAGGGACATACTGGACCTACAGGAGGCCCAGGAGAGAGGAACTTTCATCTGGGGAGTTGGGGCAGGCGTCACACAGGAAGTGATGTTGGAGCCGGGCTTGGAAGGCTGAACAAGCGTTGGCCCCGCTGTGGAGGTTGGGCGTGCACTGCAGCCGAGGAGCAGCTTCGTAGCTGAGGACACAGGCTCCTAGACATGTGCAGGGAAGGTACCTGGTACCTCTGAGAGTCTTCATTGACCTCCGAGTTTCTTCATTTCCAAATGGAATGATAACCTAGTAATAACAGTAGCTAACAGGTATGGAACATCCAGCGTCCAGCAGAAGTAACACCTATTTGAGTGTGGTTGGTAGGGTAATGATATGGGTGTAATAATTTATCATTTTTATTTGAACATTTCACCTAAATTGTCATACGGTGGGCCTGAGGGTGATAGTGTCATATTACAGAATTGCATGCTTATGATTTTATAATAAAAAAAGGGGGTGTTATTTGTGCCAGACCCATATTCCGTGTCAGGTCCTGTCCTATACATGCCTTTTCACACTTTGTCCTACCCACAACGACATGCAAGGTAGGCCCTGTCACTGCCTCCCATTTCACAGATGAGGAAACTGAGGCACCGACAGGTTAAAAACATGTAGCCTAGCCTTCCTCTCTCACAGGGTTTTCGGGAGGAATAAACCCACATAAAGCGGCTGGCACTATGTCTCGCACATGGCAAGTGCTCAGTAAATGCTCGTGATGAAGACCGGAGGGTCTGGCTGGAGTCAGGGGTGGAAGTGTCCTGGTCCTAGAGGCCATCACAGGCTCATGGCCTACAGGTGTGGGGAACCCCGCCTCCCAGGGACGCAGAGCCCGTCCTGGCTAGAGCGGCCCCAGAATTGCTCCTTTTTCTGCTCCAAAAAGTCTGGCTCATGACTTGTTCTCCACTGGCTTCCTCAGGAGCAAAAGCAAGAATTTGATAACTGAGGATACGATATATGATAATAAGACCGAGGAACTGGCGAAGAACACGCTTCTCAACAGGATGACAAACGTGGACTCAGGAGCGACCTCAAGCAGACGGAATGACTGAGGGCCAGGCCCTCAGGCGATCTCCGTGGAGTTGAGTGGCTGGGTAGGAGGCCGTAGATTCCAGGCCACAAATTCCGGTCCTAGTCCCGGTTGGGTGGCAGGTCAGTCCTGCTCCAAGGTCAGCCCTCGAGATCCAAAACTAACTCCTTTGCAGGGAGCTAAGGTGTGATGAATTCTAATAAAGGTACCGCTTTGGCCTTGAGATGGCTAGGTCAAATTGGCTTTGTCCAGAGAACCCAGAGGCCCAGGCCCAGAGGATAGTGGGTCAGACAGGCTCATCCCGAGTCCTTAGTGTCCTGAGCTAACCCTCAGGGGACAGCCAGGAGCTCTCCGGGTGAGGGGCAGGTGGGCTGTGTCTGAGGGCCAGGAGTGAGCAAGGGCACTGCCTGTATCCTCTGTTCCCAGCATCTGCTGGTGTGGGCGGGCTCCTCTCTCCGGGGCAAGTGGAGGACAGATGTCGCAGTCCCACTGTATGCACCTGCCAAGGCCATGGCTGGAATGTGAAGGAATAATGAGAACTCCCATCTGTACTCTATGGCACAGGGCTTTCTTGCCCCATTTTTTCCTCTGATGCTCCCCAGAAAAGCATGGCATTGGGGATTAGCCATCTCAGCCTCCTCCTTGGGGATGCCTTCCCTGGTGGCTCCGGCTTGGCTGGCCTCTGACCTCCACCACCCTGAGAATAAGCCCCAGAACCTAGCTCACAGCCCCAACAGCCCTGGGGGTGAGGGTGCCCTTCCCCCTCTGCGTGGGGCTCCCTGGGAAGAACCCAGGAATCCTCACCCATTAGCCAGACGGGAACCTTTGGATCAGGCCCTGGGCCCCACGTCCTCTCCCTCTGGGACGGGGCGGGGGGTGGGGGAAGGTTCTGGCAAGGCCTGGCTCTTTCCCTCCTCTCTCTCTCTCTCTCTTTCTGCTGTTTATTGGAAAATCATCAACTTGCAAGGGAGGAGCTCCTGAGAGGACAGGAAAGAATGCCTGTCCTCAGGGAGCAAGGGCAGGGAGGCCCTGAGTGTCCTGGGCAGGACTGGAGGGCAGCCCAGCCGAGTGTGGCCTCTGACAGCCTGTCCCAAGCACACAGCTCTGAGTGTATGCTCCCAGACTTTGCGGCAGCAAGAAGCTAGAGCTCACACCCTCCCCTTTCAGTGTCGATTTCTGGTCCCTCTGTTCTTTACCAAGTTTCCCAGGATGGCCCAGACAAAGTGGTCTCGCAAAGTATCTGCTCAGAGGATGACAGGATGCTTTAAATGCCCCCCTTGCTTTTTCCGACGTCCTTATCTGTGAGCTGTGATGGGCGGCATATTAACCACCTGTAAACACCTCGCTTCAGATTACGTTGTTGCAAGGATACAGCCAGCAGGGTGTCACCTCTTTGCTGATGCCTGACATTTGCAGAGTTTTCAAATTTTACATAACCAATCTTATGGTTATGTAGTGATATCTTAGGTGTAAATGTACACTTCCCTCCTTCCTAAGGAGATGGAGCACCTTTTCATAAATGGAGGGGCCCCTGGGATTCCCCGTTTCTGAGGCCCTCAGTTAAGTCTTTTCTCCATTTCTGTACCGGGTTGTCTGTTCTTGATTTTATAGATTTGCAAGAGTATGTTACATGTTCTTTGTAAGTTCATTGTCAGTAAATATGTGTCGCCACTATCTTCTTGCCCCTTTAGTTTGCTATTTCACTTAAATTTTTTTTTTTTACAATTTCTTTCTTTCTTTTTTTAAATATGAATGTCTAATTTATCCAGGATCCTTTGTTAAAAAGATGCTCTCCTCCCCCTCCTACTTTTCCCAATGCCATCATCAATCAAGTGACTGTGCGTGTGGGTTTGATTCTGGGTTCTCTTTTCTGTTCCATTGGCCAGTTGGTCATTCTTGCGCCAATACCACGTTTCCTTGGGTACTGTGGTATATTCAAGTCTTGATATCCAGGAGAGCACATTCTTCCACATTGTTTTTCTTTCCGAGGGTCTTGACTTTTCTTGACCTTCTGGATCCCTGGGGATCACCTGGGTTTAGCGAACTGGCCATCCCTGCAGGAATTCCCAGGCGGTGACAGCCTGCAGGGACGGGACACACAGGCCCCTTCCACGGGGTCCCAGCCCAGCCACACAGGGGAGCAGTGGGCAGGCAGGCAGGAGAGCGTGGCGTACCCTTCAGCACAGACCAGTAGCTCCGGGGGCTGTTCAGGTTCATCAGGTAGACCTCCCGGACCCGCCCCCGGTCCACCCAGCTGGTGGGGAGCTGCAGCTCGGGCACGGCTGCAATGGCCCGCAGGGGCACCCCCTAAGGGGACAGAGCCTTTAACTTGGTGGGGACCAGGCGACCTTGCCCAGGGTCTTAGGGGCTTCTGAGAGCACCATCTAAAGCCAGAGGCTGCTGGCGAGATTCTACACAGGCTGAGGGCCGGGAAGGCGCCATCTGTTCACCCTGCCCTCATCAGGCTCTGTGGTTTCTGCTCCCTGGCTGAGCCCATTTCCTGCCTTCCTCTCCTCCCTTGTCCAGCCCTGTGCTTCTCTTGGGCCCTGAGCCATCTTGCCTTTTCCCATGGCCTCTCCAGCTCAGCTCCACATCACGGCCTCACGATCTTCTGTCACAGACCACAGAACCAGACCTGTGGTGCCCACCCTGGTGCGTGAAGCCCCACTGGGGCCCAAGGGTCATCCCTCAGATGCTCACCGTCCCCACCCATCAGCCCACTCCCTTGGACTGACTTCAGTGTGGTTTCCCTTTCATCAAACAGTGATTAAATAGGAGGAGTCACATGCCACCTCCTCCAGGAAGCCTTCCCTGCTTTCTCACTGTATAGCACCTCAAAACATGGCCCTGAGCTCCTAAGTCAGTTAAAACCAATGACCCTCGTCTCTCCATGAGCAAGGTCTCTTCCAAGGCAGACGGGGCCCTCAGGGCAAGGGCTTGGGCACCCCTTATTTCTGAGGGCCCTGGTGGGGTTCGTCCTCCTCTGACCCCACCAAAACAAGAGTCCAGCCCAGTCCCACCCTCCTCGGCGCATGGGGCGGGCCTGCGGCTCGCCTGCATGGTGTGGTTGGCGTGCTCCAGGAGCAGGCTCTGGGTGAACACCATCTCTTTCTGCCCACTCGCGCTCTGCTGAATGTCCACTCCGGGCAGCATCTGGTCAGCTGGGAGCCTCTGGTAGGACAGCAGCTCCAGGGACAGCGAGAAGGACACGTCCACCTGAGCAGGCGAGAACAAGCCGTCCCTTCGGCTGCTGCAGGCGGCGGCTACTTCCTCGCCTGGAGCTCCGTCCTGCCCTCCCGCGGCCCCTGCAGGCCCGACGAGGTCCTGGCTCCGTTGTGACTCGGCCAGGCCTGCAGGGCCCAGACTGACGCAGGCCCAGCAAGGAGCCCAGCAAGCGCGCCTCCCCCAGCGCCCCCCAGAGCCCCTGCCAGGCGCACTCATTCCACAGCACTGGCTGCCCCGCTCTGTGCCCAGCCCCCACCAGCACCAGGGACAGTGCCTTTACCCCCTAGCTGACCAGACTGGCGGTCTCTGTAAGGCCTGTGTCTTTTTCCTGAGGACAGAGAGGAGCCTCTGGTGGGTTCAAAGCAAGGGGACGTCTGAGCCAGCTTTGCCTCCGTCAGAGGTCGTGTCACTCTGGCCGTTGTGGGAAGGTGAGGGGGGAGCTCGCGTGGGTGAGTGTGAGGACACCGGCAAGGGGTCTGAAGCCATGACTGAGGCCCAACAGGATGGGGCTTGGGCACATCGCTCCCAAGTACAGGTCTGCGGACCTCACTTAACAAATGTACTCAAGGCACCATTAGAAACACAGATTCCTGGGCCTCGGAGTCAAGAGCAGGTGCCTTCTCGGTGCTTTCAACTAGACCAGGCCGGGAACAGAAGCTTCCACGCCATGGATGTCTGTGTTGTGCACATCAGTAGCCAACAGGCCTGTGGCTGTCGCGCGCTTGAAAGGTGGATAACGTGATTAAGAAACTGAATTGCTCATTTTGTTCAAATTAATTAAATGTAAATAGCTGGTGGGTTACTATAATGCAGAGCCCCACCCAGAAATTCTGAGTCAGGTATGTGGGGAACGAGGCCTGGAAATCAGCATTTTAATAAACCCTACAGCTGATTCTGATGCCTGCTGAAGTAGGCAAGTCCCTCAGAGGTCGATAACAAAAGGATAAGTGATCAGTGTAACACTTCTGTGTATTTGGAAAATTTAAAACAATTCTGAGTCTAAGAAGAAATTACAACAGAAATTAGAAAATACTTAGGACTGAACGATACCAAAAAGATCGCGCATTAAAATGTGTGGAATGCAGCTAAAATGGTACTAAGAGGAAAACTTAGAATCTTAATGCTTACATCATGGAAGAAGAAAGGCTGAAAATTAATGAGCTAGGTATTGCAACCTAACCAGTTAGAGATCGAATAGGTAAATACACCCATCAACCATATAAAGAATGAAATTATAAAGGTAAGAGCAAAGATTAATGAACTAAAAAACAAAAATGTAGTATAGAAAAAGGAAGGCTGAAAGTTACGTTATTTGAGAAAATTAATTATATGCACAAGTGAATAAACCTCTGCCAATATTCTTTTTTTTTTTTTAAAGAGAGGGTATAAATAAACAGTATTAGTAATTAAAAGGGAAAGAGGTTTTTCAGAAGGTAAAACACAGAGTAACCCTGTGGCTCAGCAATTTCTCTTCTAGGTGGACGCACTCCTCCCAAAATGAAAACATACAGCCACACAAAAACCTGCCCAGGAATGTCCATAGCAGCATTATATGTAAGAACTTAAAAGTGGAAACAAACTAAATACCCTTCAGCTGATGAATAAGAAAATAAAATGGGGTATATCCAAAGGATAGAATATATTTCTGGCTATAACTTGGATGAACCTTGGAAACAGTATGTTAAAGTAAAACAAATCACTCATCAAAGGCCAAATGTTGTATAATTCCATTTATTTGAAATGCCCAGAACAGGCAAATCCATGAGACTGAAGGTGGCCGCCTGAGGTTCGGGTTCG